TTCAGTGCTTAACTCAAGTAGCCATTTTTTCAAACAGTATGATATATGCTCATAATAAATTTTATCTTATGACATAAAAGTGCTTATAATTTGTCTTATTTTCTCCAATGTTCGGTTTACGAAAGTTGGTTCAAACAGTTTGTAAAATTAACTTCGATTATTATAGTGACGTAAACAATGTTTTCAAACTAAACAGAGCTTATTTCGTTATTTTAGATTGAGCGAATACGTAATATGACTGACGAACAACGACGTGAAGAATTCATAAGAAATCCAAAAGTTATCACAAACAAAACAGCTAAAGGAAAATACAAGTTTTTGCAGAAGTACTTTCATCGGGGAGCTTTCTATGTTACTTCGTTGGAGGACAAAGTATTTCAACAAGACTTTACACAGCCTACTCTGGAAGATCATTTTGACAAAACAAAGTTGCCTACTGTTATGCAGGTCAGTGACGAAAGAATTGGTCTTCATGAATACTTATTTTTTTGGAAGGCTATTACCTTGACTGTTTAGGACTGAATTCTACTACGAAATATTCAAAGCAGTATAGAATTATTATGAACAGTCTTGAGTAGATTAATCTTCAGACGAACATTTTATTCAAAAAGAAGTGGTATACTTTGATACGCACAACGTTTTATGGTTCGTTAGTTAAACGATATTAAAATGTGACATGGTGAGAAGAAAAAAGTTCAGTGAGATTTATTAAAATGTAGGAGAAATGTCACATTAATAATCAAGATCTTCTGTAGCAGTTACGTATGTAGATCGTTTTTGAGCTAATATCCATACTTATTTTATTGTATTTAGTTACCTAACGATAAACGACTACGTTTCTCAATGATGCCTAACTATCTCTTGATTCTCAACATGGTTTTCTTAATCAAGAATGTTCATCTCGAATATCATTCATAGATATATTCCATTCTTGGTATACTACGTGTCTGTTTACTATATGTTGATGGCAAATTAATATCATACCAAGACGAAAAACGATTTAGTTCTCATAATAATTTGCTTGGGACCCTCGAAGTTTGATCATGTGGTTGATATATTTATTCCATAAAATCATGATTCGAACCTCTCTTTTATTTTGTTTCGTCAAATCAAATGTATTTAAATTAATAACATTGATCAGGCTAGTGGATTGATTACTAGAATAACAACGGATTCAGAGTTAGTGATTTCAGTATTCATCAAACTTTGCTACAACTATTATGATAACACCCAACTTGCGAATTTACCTTTAGTCGCGAAGCTAGTGCATAATGCCCTTTTGAATATGGTTTAACACTGTAAGGGGAATATCTTGTCTCTTTATACCATACCCACCTCCCAAAAAAATGGAGTTAGTTATGAACACCGTAGGACCTAGCACATAATCATATTAATGAAAGCAGCTTAAATATAAACAATGGAAATATAACTAAAAAAACAGTTGGGATGAAAAGGTAGAGAGTTAAGGTTGATAAATTGGATGTGTCGGCCACAAAATGCCTGTCATATTGACAGTTCTATAGTAATACTTCAGCTCACTAAACGTCAATCCTTACAGGTAAATTAGAAGACGTGAAACGAGCTTTTTGTACTTTCATTGAGTTCGATGCTAAATCATACTATCTGTCTTGTCAATATAGAAAATTAAATGCATTTTAAATGTAATGTTATATTTAATACTTAGGTTAAGAACTTTGGTCGTGCTGGTCGGACTAAGTATACACATTTGGTTGATCAAGATACAACTGTATTCGACTCACCATGGTCAACAACCAATCCACAAAATATGAAGTTCCAGTCAACTCACGGTGGAGGATTTAAGCAAATATTCTCGAAACCTGGTTTATCTAAACAGAAGAAAAAGACAGGCTAGCACCTTAGTTATGATAATGTGTATATATATTTAGCGAAACAGCAAGTCGAGTTTTCCTGTTTTCACTAATTTTCGATTTTTTTTTCTGTCCACGAGTATGTACACAATTGATGCGAATAAATAATTCTGTTTATTTTAGAATTTATGTTCGGTAAATTTGTTGCTTGAATAATTTTTTCTGGTTAGCGTTGTTTTAGCGAGTTAGTTTTCTATGGGATTATGTACATGCTATTCCGTTTCAACAAAGTGTTATTACTTAATTTATTCACGTTATGACTATTACTTCGGATTTCTTTTTACATGCATTATCATCAACCACGTAGTAACTTAATCAAAGTTCATAGGCTTACATGCATAAGACGTTTTGCACCAAAAACAGGTATAAAAAATAATGAGTCAAACCTAGTTTTTTAAATATTCTTGGTAGTGTACTAGGGAGCATAACCGGAGTATACCCGTTTTGACATAAGCTTCATGCGCTTACATATTTTGGTAGCTGTATTTGTTTGTTAATACTAATCTATAATAACAGTCAACAAGTGAATCTCCTGGTAGAAAACCAATCTATGGGAAATCATACAACGAAAGCGTTGTCTCTACAAGCATGTCTATGACAAAGTCAAATAAAAATGGAGAAAGCGGAATACTCTGACAATCACTACTTGAAGTAACCGATTCCGATCACAGTTCACCATAAGCTCTGACTCGACCAGTAATGTTCGAGTAGAGAGTTTGTACGAGGTTAATATACTTGTTTGGTACTCCTTCTAATAGAACACTGCCGCAGAACCTCACGATCAATGGAATCGAATGCCGTTTTGAGGTCAGGGAATACAACTTTAGTAGGACGTCGAAAAGTATAGCTATGTTCCAGAATCTCCCACGGTACCAGTATTCAGTCTATACATGCGCATCCAGCTTTGAAATCAGCCTGGTTTTCTCGACTTTGCTCATCAAGAGCTCTTGTTAGACGTTAAAGTATTATTTAGGCTAATATTTTAGACAATATATTAGCTAAACTGATTCCTCTGTGATTGTCACAAGAGAAGTTTTGTTCTTTCTTATAAACTGGGATGACAAGTGATCGAGACCAATCAGACAGAATTACGTTCAATCCCCATATTTTAGCTAATATATCAGTTAATCTAACTGCGGAAACTGGGCCACTATCCTTAAAAATCCCAGGGGATAGTTCATCAGACCCTGCTGCTCTCTCTCGCTTCAGATTACTTATAGCCATTCCAACCTCACTAAGAGTTGGAGGACCCGCATCAATTCCCTATTTAGGTTACTAGGGGATAGTGGGTAAGTGAAGTGTGGCTGAAGGCCTGTTTAACTGTCTCCTAGGTTGCTCTGTTCATTGGTTTAATTTCCTGGACTCAGAATGAATAATAGTTCCATCTTTTTCAGAGATCTTTTAACTAACAGCCAAATTTTCAATGCCCGTTTCCTTGATAGGTCTGAACAGTTGCAAATAAAACTAGTCATATGAAAATATTGTACAATGTCCACCTACTTACCATTATGATTCAATAATGCATTTTGAAGTGTTACAGCTTGAACTAATGCTCTTCGGTTGCACACTTTCTAATGCCTCCCCATTCGAACATGCGAAAGGTTTTTATCAGGGGTTCATGAGACAATCTTATTCTATCTTAAAGCTAGATCTGTAGTGACCTAGAACACATATGGGAACAACTGATTGCACAAAATCTTTGTAAACTGAGAACAATAGACTGAATACTTCTTTTGCAAATTTCCATCATTTGTCTTTCACATTCTGTATGATTCGCCCAGTCCATAATTCCTTTTTATTTTCTTCAACTCGATCTTCTGCTGCCAGGTTTTCCAATTGATGGCACATACTACTTATGTCTGTCGATATAAGTAGCATAAACCACAGATCTAAATGTTACTTTGATGTTACACAGCGTTTATCTTGAGCTTTGAACTTTCCATTAGGGTGTTGCGTAACGAAAATGCACTTACGATCTAGTATACCTAGGACTCAAACTTCTGTTTTAACTCAGAAAACACAACACCAAAATCATTCACCTGAGCTACAAATCTCCACCATCTCAGTTGAATATAGCCTAGAACTACAACATCATCTGGTACTAGGGAATTGTTAACCGTATGGTTAGCTCAACAAGTTCATTTTACTGAGCGAGTATTTTTCAATAACTTCGATCGATGAAGGCTCGCAGCCTCGTCAACGGACACATCATCTCTATCTGGTGCTGCCACGGATGAGAAGCATTGCTTCGGAGATATCCATAACCGAATAGCTTCTACGAGCACTCGCTTTCTAACCTCATAAGCCATAACCTATTATTGTGGAGTACACAGTGAACTTTGTACTCAAGCCGAAATCTCGTCAGCTATCGACTTATCAAGAGTGATGGGACACAAAGGATAAGTGCGCGGTCGACACGTTCACTCCGTATGGGCGAACTAAGAACTTAGACAAGTCATTCCTTAAAAGAAACACATTTTGCACAACGAGGTTTACGGTAATACTATATTCTGTCAGCACGTACACAAGTTTGTCTTTTCACCTGTTTTTCAAGTTGAGTCGTCAGTATCATTTCTGAGAGTCTATCAATTAGACAAACGCTACTCAAATTCACAGAATTTCCCAAATCTTACGGCTTTGGTTACTACGAGACATTTGCTTTCAAATTCGCTTGTAGACCATGCAACGCTACCCTTGGATGAGCGACAGCTTCATGTTCATTTTTTTCTAATTAGTTGCTTCTTAAAAAAACCCGAAATTTTGATAGTCTAATCTTTCGGTTCATCAGGTTTGAAAAACCCTGACAAAACTCATCCAGATTGCTAAATTCCTATGATACTCAGAGTTAGTGCTAGCCAAGTTAACACTTCGATCTTGTTGAGGAACTATCAGCTAAGTTTACTTATATACCAGTGAGATGCGATATGGGTGACTTTAAATGCTTGTAAAGGGCTCAGATAGATCTTTTATTGGAGATCAGAAGTAAATCTTATCCACAGATACTTAAGTGATATTTAGAAAAAATTAGTTCGGTTAAAAACAACTGTATATATTCCTCAGTAGTAATTTGAATTCATGAAACAGAAAAACAATCTTTACATACTAATATTGTTATTGTGTTACAGGGGGGATTTTCACTAAAAGTTGATCATCAGCCAAAATGATATCTCCACTGAAATCTGTAGATTTGGCTTGATCTAAGATAATTTGTAAACTAGGTTTGTTTTTCTTATCATTTTTAGATTTCTTTGAATGATTCACCTGTTCACCAATTTCACCTGTAAGAAAGTACAGTTCGTGTGATTTTTCAAAGTAATGATAAATGGATAATATTAACCAATCATATATTGATGTAATGAAAAAGCCAAAGCAATAACAATACGGTGCAATCAGTTTTCCTGACTATTTGGTTATATGTTTAAATTTATTTTGAACAGTACAATATGATATCTGTCAACTCAACTTGTAGAAGCTTAAATCCAAAGGGTTTACTAAGAAATAAACATTATTTATAACATCGGGCGTAATAGCATCGCATCGATATATATAATCTAGATCACAGAAAACTAACTTTTAGATTCATTGGATGAGTACTGAAGAGATAAAGCCTTGAGGTGAATAAGAGACTTCACCCACGGTCTATGGATTATGAGTCGTGATGAACAATTCTAACTACCTTGCAATTTCATTAACATTTAATTTTGCCATTTTTCTTAGGGCAATGTTTTCAGCTTAGATTTTAAAGAACCAAAAATTGCGTCTCCTTGAATATACATGTTTTTTTTGGCGTTATTAGTACCAAATTAATGAGTGATAACGAAGCATAAAATACGACTTGTTGTTCACACAAACAAATATGCCTTAAAACGAAAGGAGTATTATATTTGATGGTTTTCGTCCCAGACTGACACCTATAGGTGAATCATTGGAACACCGGACATTTGTTTTGGCACAGTATGGAAATCTTCATTAGTAATAACCAACAATCTGCAGTCCTCGCAGCGAACGTGTTACCTACAGATCCATACATCGGGATTTGAGAGGATATATTTTGAATCCAGTGATAACTTTTATCTAAGTTCTAAAATTATTATCTGTATGTATATATTAGTGCAATAAACTACTGTAACTTAAAATTTATCTCATCAATAACTAAATTTACTAATTAATATACATTCTAATGACATTCTTCAGAAGTTTAAAACCTGTTAACTTCAATACTGAATCTGTGGTTGCTTTTGATAAATAAATGAGCTGAGTAGTCTTATGATCAATTCTTAATTATAGCATTATTGAGATTCTGCTAAAGTGAGTTTCTATCAACATTTCAGTTTGTTTTTGACAAAAAATAATAGCAGTAATCATGAATACATTAATTTACAACATATTTTGTTGGGTAAAACTATATTTTTATAACAATATCACGATGAATTTACTTTTTATAGTGTTTTCATCTAGAGAATCTATTCGATCATATCTATGACTGAAATGTGTTAAAACTAACTGACGAACATTGAGTTGACAGGCTAATTTCATTACAACTCTTGGTACAGAATGACCTTTGCTCAATGCATCCTCATATAAACTGTCGTCTAAAGTAGCTTCATGTACAAGGGTATCCAAAGTTATAGAAGTAATTTGATTTGCAGTATGCAAAACCTGCATAAGACGTAAAAGTTCAGAAGAATCATACGTATCCCCCATAATTGCGATACGATGACCTCTTAAACGCGGTTTCAACACATCTTCAGGTCGAACTGTTTTACCATCAATGACAACTGTCTTACCCTTGGGAGAAGAAAAAAGCATTGAAATTGTTTTGTGATATCGATTAACAAATGATATCAGAATCAAAGCATATCCTGTCTTAAGAAAAACAATCGATTTTAGTGTTAATAATCTAAGTTAATTCTAAATTATGATGTTTTACATAAAAAAAACCAAGAGACAAGTGAATATATGAAAAGTCGTTAGAAACACTAACCATAAAACAACATAAGATAAAAACATTCACATATAAATGTTGTACTAAAAAAACAAAACAATTTAGATAAATGATTATGACTATCGAATTGGTCAACTATTAGAATATCACTAACTAAAAATAAGATTATAAATATATACATGTGATATGCCTGGTTATTATAAAAGAAAATCTAATTCGGATATATAATTGTAATTCAAAATACATCAGCTAAAATTCACTAGTCAACTATCTCTGTCATTATAAACTATGAATAATAAAAATTAATTAATTTAAATAAAAGTAATTGAATTATGAACAGTAATGTTAGCATAACTTATATTTTTATTGACAAACCTAGAAAATTTCTGTGAAATATTGACGTTATACAATAAATCAACTTTATTGAAATCGAAATACACCATTATTTAGATTGAAGTTTGTTATTATCAAACATCATAACAATATGATTGGATAAATAATCTATGCTCTATTATTATTATCCAGGATTAGGATTCCATGGATGAAACTATAGACGTTAGTTTTAATGTTAATTGTAGTGTATAGTCAAAGAGTATGACAGTCTATGATTTCTCTTTCATTTTTTTTTTTTAACTAGACAAAAACAAAAAGTATCTATAATAAGGAGGGGATGAACGCAAGTGAATTCCTGAAATATTATGATTACTCCTCAATTATTTATCATTCAGTTTGATTATTTGACTGACGATATGCTGATATTTCTCAGTTAGATTGTTTCGTGTCAATCCTAGTGATTTATCTTGATAATCTAAAACTTTACATTTTTTTATATTATTGTTCCTTATACCTGTTTGTCAATTAGGTGTTTTAAGATACTTAGATATATTCAATTCATGATCGTCTGAAAACAACAAAATAGAACTGATGAAAAATAGAAATTATCAATGTCGGTTAAACATAAACAAAGTAGGAACTGACAGAAATGTTAGTTGGTTCAATTTGTCTTACATTACAGTAACATGGTAAGAATAAATCAACAAAACGAAAGTCAAAAAGTGTAAATAAAAGTAGTCGGTAAGCAATATTGCAATAAAGTGTTCAGTCACGGTAGTCTGTAAGCAGATGAAAATATTAATAAAATTAAAAACAGTGTCCTGGAACGATTACCTGAACTTGGCAACCTGATTTAAAATGGTAAAAAGATTATCTGTACGATGAAGGAAGTGATATATGATAAGATATAATCATTTAATCTATGCATACTTAACAAAGGTATTAACATAACTGACTACTGAGTGAGTCTGTTCCAATAATACATTAGATAAGCTGATGAATATGAAATACGATAAACAAGAATGTAATATTACTCACTTAATTCAATTATATGTATCATACGCAACTTACAACAAAGCCCCCAAACGCCCTGGTACGGCCGAGAGTGCGGAGAGTCCTCTCTCCTCGCAATGCTCTCGCACGTATACAGCCATTGCCAGGGAAGTCCTACTCACTGCTTTCCCGCGGCGGGCTGGTTGTTTACGAAATTGAGAGGACGAAAAGCGAATGTCCGACGCTTTGACCGGGTTGGTGGATGAGGAGGATCCACCTAGGGGAGTTGGAAAACTCTGATTCCAGGCCAATGGTACACATGAGCTCCAGTAGCCTGAGGGAACAAATGGCGTAAGAACCAATCGTTGGTCACCGGCTACCATGGGACTGCATCTCCCGACGTTGCTCCACTTCCTTGTGGATCAGACCTATGGGTGAAGGCTCCGAGTGTGACCCCTGAGAAAATCACCTGCTACAGTCTGGGCACCCGGGTATTATCGCTGCTCATATGCACAAATCAAGTGACTTGTGTGGTGCATATGTATTCGGTGCCTCCTTGTATCAATATTTGTGTTCAAATAAATAAATAATAAGTATGTATCAGACGATTAAGAGCATAAATTATGTCAGGGTTTACGGTGATAATCAGATACAAAGAAACACACTTAACTTAGTAACACATGAACATATGAATAAACCGCTGACAGTTAATTGTATATATTGAAGGCTCTATGTTTTTTTTAGATAAGAGCATAGAAGTAAAAATGTTACCAAGTCAACTCATATACCCGTTACTAGTATCACTGATAACTTTGATATGATATGTCCATTTAATTATTTATACGATATCACAACACCGAATTAATGAAAATAAAAACATATAAAATACTCGTTTCAGTTCACCCATTAATCGTCCTTTGGGAACGCCTAATTTTATAGCTGTCTCAGCACACAAGGAAGGTGCATGATCCGGCTTTATTATCAGCCAACCTACGGAAGGAATCGTATGTTTTATAGACACTGCATGCACCATTTCACATTTCTCTTCATTATTTGTAACATTATACCAGAATCCTGCAAAACAGATAACACATAGCATCATGTAATATACTTCAAAACTTAATTAGACAAACTCTCATAGAACCATAATAATATCAGTGAAGTTTTCGTGAATTTAATACAAAGTTATAGGGGATAGCTACATAAAGGATTAGATTTGTAAGATGTTAGTTGGAAAGGTAGAAACTTTCTTGTTCCTGCCTCTGACTTTTTCCTGGACCAGTTAAACTCAGTCAGTGACTTTCCTATGGCAATTTAATTTTGATCTAAAACATATGATACATAGTTGCTTATATTGACTAACCAACTGAGACATACTATTAAGTGGAGAATTCATTATTTATTCACCAACGGACTTTAAGTAATGCACACCATCCATCATCGTAACAGAATTTCAATAAGTCAACTCGTAAAACTAGGAAAAAAGAGAAATACAACTATAGGATCATGTTTCGGACTCACAACCATTATTCTTCGCTCTATGTCATATGGTGATTATCAGTTAAGTTTAGCATCAGAAAGATTTTTATAGAAAGCAATGAAATGGTTTCAAAGGTAAGATTCAGACGCTTATATGTCATCTCAACTCATTGCTGCTTATTAAAGAGCGCCAATAATCGTATGAAGTAACAGTGATGATGAATATATGTGATGTTGTAAAGTCAATCTTATTGGAGTCAACCTAATAATGGCTAAGTTAGGAACCAAACCATTTAAAAAACTTAGGTATGAATCCCACTTTCAGTTATAAAGCGATTACAATGCAATGCATTTCAATTTAAACATAATGAAATAAGTGAATTTAGACAAATATTTATAACTGACGTTCATCAATAAATCTTACCATCACTGTTCGCAAAAATGTCTCTACCAGAACGTTCACAAAATAATGGGGGATCTCGAGTTATATCAGCCTCTAAACATGCCCAGTCTTGCCAATTTGGAGGACAATGTTTTTCTTCTAGTATCAACTCATGAACAGCATAAGTGTAGCTTAAATTAGCTCTAGAACAAATGAAAATATTAAATCTTATTGGTGTTTTATCTCAAATTATACAGTATTTAAGTAAAATCTTACACAATGTAAAACAGTTTAATAAGATTGATATTAAATAACGAGACACACTCTGTCACTGAAGAAAGAAGACAATTCAGCGAAGCAAATTTTCTTTTTGACGATTTCATTTATTTAGGCTGTACAATCGTATTTATAGTTAATTCTATTTGCTAAAATAGTAGTTTATAGTAAAACAAAATATCTAAAGAAGCCGGAGTGACATCTTATCATGAAATGCTTACGAAAATCAGATATCGAAAGAAAGTTATGTGACAATTGGCTAGTGAGAATTGGTAGTGTGAAGACAATTATCCACTACATAGAGGTTAAGAAGAGAATAATTAAAAATCATAATAATTGTTAATAGCTATGAAAATAAATGGGAAGGAGTAGAATAACAAGATAAAAACAAAAAACGATAGATTATGGAAAACAGAAGGATGAGAGACTGAAAATACTGTTTTTGTACGCAAAGGTTAAACTTGAACTGGTGGATAGAGATAGCCTCTGCTGTACATAAGTTTTCCATTTGCATTGTTGTTGAGCCGACACTTCTGACTGCATGCATGGTTTTGAAGGAGGCTTTTGATGAAACGGAGTGACCAGATTGACTAGATTCTTTGAAAAATTGATATTCACATGCCATATTGCTTTTGTGAAATCCAAAATATATAACATACAATAAGAGATTACCGAAATCTATTTTTATCCATGTCGTTAATTTTCCACAAATATGTCATAAGATGTTCCGACTTTGATTGACGCAAAGGATTGCGAGCGATACTTATGTCTGGTAAGTTGTCATAATCAAGGACAACTGAATTCTTTTATAGGCTACTTATCAAATAACAGCTTCACTGAATAGCAACGGTGAATAAATAGCAGGTACTGGATGTTGAGGATTTCGATTGGCATTATTCAGATAGTACCAGAATGCAGAAAAATGTAGGAAGTTTACAGAAAAGTAATGTTGCAGCTTTTTTCACATAGCCGTTTTAAAGTAACTTTAAAATAGGCAAAACAAAGCCAGAACTGCAGTGGGAATTTATGAAGAATTTTAATCTTTGGTTAAGGCATTGATGTCCGGTCAACCGTTCAGACTTGGTTTTAAATCATGAACTACTGATAACTTAGTCAAACTGAAGGATGAGCGGAATGCCGCATATTTAAAAAAAGTGAACAGAATCATTTCATAATATTGAAGGTATGTTATTTAGGATTCACACTTATTTCCAATGCCGAAGACTTATTATGGAGATTAAAGGCATATTGAGCTTTAAGATGAACAATAAACTTTCCACCTTATCTACTGGATTATTGTTTTTCTTCCGAGCTAATCGATATGTCAACCCCTTGAGACCCCGTTAGAAAACACTCATCATATGTCCGTTACAGAATTTTGTGCATCCTCAAACATTTATTAATTATCATGGTGATACTGATATAATGTAAGTGACCGCATCAGAGGTAACAGTAAATGGTTCCCTTACATACTACAGAGTAATAAAATACCAAATGAAAAGAAAAAAATATTACATAGCAAGAAGCTTAAGCGTTGAAACTTGATGTTAATGAGCAGCATGACGCAGTATATTGAAAGTTTAAGATATCATTCATCAGGCCCAAACAGAATATACAACTCTGTTGTAAATTAGAAAATGTAGATGTATCCATAATATATACTGACATTCAGACTTTGTAAATTGATTAAAGCTACTCTATGATTTAATATTTTGCAGTATACAATATTTAAGAGTAAAGTACGACAATTCAATAACTAAATGCAACCTAATAAACCAGTAAAATTCCACAACTACTATAAGAAGGCTAATGATACTATCCTGTTATACAGATCGAAACAAGATGCGAATTTTCAACCCAGTAGTTGAAAGTACATATGCTACTAGATGTTAATAACATATCCGCGTTCTTACGAAGATCCGAGTATACTGAGTAGATTTCTAGCTATGTATTACACAGCTAATATACGACTTGGAGACATCATAATCGCAGGTATTTTCACACAAATGTTTTTGGAACTTTACTAATATTGGGCTAAACAAAAGAAATAGTTTTGATTTTAGACGTTGAGCTCTGAAAAATGGTAGAAATCTAACCGGAAAATCTGCTGACTTGAGCTTCCAGAAAATGTATTCTACTTCACACATTTTGTAGTTTCGAGGAAGCTTTGGAGTAACTGTTTCAGAACATAGAACCAGATAGTGAAGGAAATTCCCTAGAAACAGGTAGATAGGACGAATTTAACCTTTCAACCCTTAGTTACAGCATATCAGAACCATTTATTCAAAAATTATAGACATGGCCAGAAAAACTTTGCAATGGAACACACTCATTCATTTTAAACCTTTTTTTATCCGTTGAAGATTTTATCATGGCCAATATTGGGTTTATTTTTTCTTGTCTTTTCTCTAATTAGTTAGCACATTTTCTTGTTTTATTATTTATCTATGTCGATTACAATTATTCCAACTTAAACGGATGTACTAATGCATGAGATTTCATGTAATTTAATGCTTCTACCAGTCAAACATTTAGGTCAAAATAGCTTGATTGGGTGTTGAATAGATGACCGAATCACCAAACAGCGAACAAGCTGTAACACCCATAGCTTACCTTGATAATGCAAGAGCAAGTCGAAGGAATCTGCGAAGTCCCTTTGGCCCATAAATGTTTATGGAGGCGCCATCGTTTTGTCGGTCTACATCTTCTAATACGACACTACTAGCTTCACCTTTCTGATCTATTGTACATAAAAGTCCAGGAAGACCAAACATATGATCCCCATGAAGATGTGAAATAAAAATAGAATTGATTTTTCCAAAGTGAACGAAAGACGACTTTTGCGCTTGTATCTGTACACCTTCACCACAGTCAAATAACCATTGTGAACCAGAACATAAGTCACGTAATACTACACCAGAAGCTCCCCTATGGGGTGACGGATATCCAGATGCAGTGCCTAAGAAAATCAACTCCTGAAAAAGCGATGTCACACAATTTACTATAAAAAAATGTTGGCAGCTAAAATAAATCAAATACTTCTAAAATTAGTCGATATTAATTGAAGTTTTGATGAACGAGTATCAAGTTGGTTTTTGTGATTGTCGTGTAAAACATAGTCCTTTGGATCTGTAATAACCTTACGTTTATTGCAAGGCCGGTGATTCCAAATCCTGAGAAGTCAGGAAGCTTCCAGATCTGTTGTGAATACAACGACCATACATTTAAATTTTATCAAGTTATGGTGAATAGAAGAATTTATTAACATCCGATCGTAAACGAAATTTCTCACTAATAAATTACACTCAGACCTACCAGCTGAGAGGTTTTGTGGCAATGTCTGGAAAGTACATTACATCATGGACGCTTTTACTATTGACCGGACCACAGGTTACGTACAAATTCCATCTGAATTAGAAACGTCAAGTAGTTGTTATTGTTATTATCATCTTTTTCATTCTCTATAAGCATATTTCTAGAGATGACTTTGTATTCACCTGGTTTTCGCCCGAAGACTTTTGTCAACTTAGACGATATACCCCTATTTAACCAAAAAACTCGACAAAATGCAGTCTCTTGAAAATCCTAACATATATTTGAGGAATGCTTTGAATGTGATCATCATATTGCAGTTACATTACTGTCCAGTTTGCGAAATAGTGAAGTGTTTGAGAGCGGTAAACAACCCAACTTTTAGTTTCCACAACCCAGTCATATTGGTGACTGACGAAACCTCGTGATGAACACAAACTTTCTATTTGACATTTTTGGAAATTGCGCAACACCTCGAATAAGGTGTATTTTTACCCCTTAAAAACTCCGCCTGTAGCTCTTCTAGAGCTACTGTCGGTCCCAAGCCCGGGTAATGGAGGAGGGTTAGACATGGGGTCGGCAACTCCATCCCGTAAAAAAAATATTGCTAAAAGCACCAACTAGTAGGTTACCCCTTAGAAGCAACAGTTCATGCTATTTCAGTCTATGACTATGAAACATAATTTTCGAAAGGACGAAATACTCATATATTGTAAACATCTTTTTAAACGTGCTCACATATTTTTCAAGTGTAATGCAGCCACAGGATAAGTGGTAAAATAAATCACAATAATACTTCTGTAATCAGCTCTTTGTTATCCCTTTTATTAAGAAATAGCAGGATATACATGACTGTTTTTAACAACAAGTGCCACAAAACAGCAATAACTACTCCAATAAAATCTTAAAGATTTTATAAATTCCGAATTTTCTGTGGGAAACAAAGTTGCGATTCATACAATGCATCATAAAGTTGACAAGAAGTGAAGACCTAACAAATATTAAGCTTCTATATAAACCTAGGAACGAAAGGATATTATCGTTTTTATTCAGTAATAAACAGGAAATCCAAAATGACCATATCGTGCGAATAACACTACTAGGAACGTCGACAACCAGTTATATGAATATGGTTCAGTAGGGAATACAAGAAGTGTGGCCTAATAATCAAAACGTCATATCAAAAAAGCACCGAACCTCCAGGCGATTACCTTGAGCGACGGATGGAGACGTTAAATGACGTGGTGCAAAACCCGTCACAATTACGTAAATGAACTCTCTGTTTGTCTTTCTGTAGATACATAATTTCAAAATCCTTCTCCCCATTAACTTCTTCAATCATATGTTCTATACATAATCTCTCTACTATTATTGAAACCAATACTTTATCATTCATCTAAGTAATTTAGTTACACTGTAGTTATGTTATATGCCAACTTGGACCGAAGCATATACATGCTACGTTCTACATTGCTCATGACCGATAGTATTAAACATTGGTTCTCCTTAGTCGCAGACTGAGCCGAAGTTGAGTTGATAACGTCGTAGATTACCCATGAAGTGTACACAATACGTATGAAGCAACAGAAAGCCGATAATACATACGAATCTGTAATAACCCAGTGGATGAAAGATTGGGTTTCTTGCGTTTCATGACTAAATGTAGGCCGCTTTTCAAATAGGTGATTTTTTAGTTGCTCGTACATTTTGTCGAAATTCGTGGGACGTTTTCGAGATACTTGGATATTAATAATGTTGATGTGGGGGGTGGATATATAATGCACGTCAAGCACAGCGATTCGGTCAATAACCAATTTACCCCATGAGCAATCGAAGTTTATAAAGTCAAGTGGTAATATCCATGAACAAAGATGTGGTTCGAATTATTAGACTAGTGAAGCTAGGGTAGGTGTATAGGATAACACCTTGATTTTAGTATAAACCGGTCCTAGTTTTTAATCCACTCCAAGGATTTTAAGAACGTTTTAAATGCTTTTATCGCACCATCGTACTAACATTCAAAGAATGTTATTGGAACAACCGAAATTGTAGTTCAAAAATTGAAAAAAAAATAAAACATGGGCTTTCGTGCTCCTTGAGATACATGACACTGACAAATCAACACTGGTCCCAGAAATAAAACTTATGAGCCAAGAAAATGAGGTAATCCTTTTACTAGCTCACTAATCGATATACAACAAGCAGGAAAAATACCCTAACTGGGCGATTAATGACAAGATGCGGAATCATTCAAGTCCGTTAAGCAAAAGTTTGAGAACAACTGGGACATGTTTCTTATTCGCCAAACGAAAGATGACCTTCTAATACTAGAGTAATCGAGACATATTAAGAAATGATTATCTACTTGACCCTGTTGAGGAAGTAGGTACGGTTAGACTTTATAAATTGGCCATCTGAGAAGTCCCCAATTAAATAAAAGGATCGTACTGAGGATTTATCAAATAACGTTACAAATAAATCTCCAATGGTTTGTCAAACAATATGTATGATGAACAGTAGCCCATGATAATCTACGTTAGATACCATTTTGAGAATGGAGAATGTGTAGCTACAGGTTTTCAGTTAGTGTATGTCCAATATTGTTCATGTTTCTTGAGAATAACGGGTGTAGTTATGTACATACTCTGTGTGGAGCAGAGGTTAAAGATAGTATGTGAAATGGCTAAAAATCTACCACAACGCCGAAAGTGGTTTTTCTCACCTTTATGTAGCTTTTGGACATTTGTTCACTGAAAACGGTCTATCTTTCTTGACAATTGTCCTCTTATTTTATTTACTGTTCCTGTGTGAAAAATGTGAGATAGCGCACAAAGTTAAGGCTCATTAAACAACTGTTTGCCTGTAAAAGTTGAAAGTCAACTATACAGGATCATTTTCCCCCATATCTGGATAGTGTAACAAGACTAACTGATATAAGTCCTCAGAAAGAACCTTTTGTATTGAAATATTAAACTAATTATACGTATGAAATAGTATGTGTAGGTAAGCATTTAAGTTTCTTCCTTTCCATCGAACTACTAAGATGGTCTACTAGAACTAGCAATACTAATATGACTTAACTACCTTTAAGCAGTCTTTGAATCTTAGCTTTTACAATGAGTTAGTACACATAAATTTAGAATGTACTACTGTAAAGGGATATTTTTAGAATAAACCTTAGATATCAATGAAACTTCGACCTTTTTTAACTCAACACGACTGGTAAACGAATAAGTCATTTATACGACGAATTCACCAGGCTGGCAAAAAATTTCCCTAATATTCCCACAATGTTAAAATATCTTAATTTTACGAATATTAATTTTATAAAAATGTTTATCTGACGTTCCAAGCAAACTCGGAGTATAAAACGAAAATTTAGAGTATGCTTTATTTTAAAGATAGATACAATTTAATCAATACAACTAATCTAGCTTTCAGTACTATCGAATTTTTGCTTATTAATCGTCTCATCTTGTTTTAGCTCCTTTTCAGCCAATGACAGAATTTCTTCCGAATTTAAGTCTGGGTGAAGCTCTCTCAAATTCCTACACTTTTTTAAGAGCCTGACATAGTGTCAAGTAAAATAAACACTTACTTAGACAGTGTCGAACGATTGTCCACTAGTTTGAACATGTTTAATGTTTCGAGCCTGTGATGACCTTTGAAAAAAGCTCTGTTGAAAGTTCACAAAAAGCTATTGGCCTTACGCTCTTTCACAATCTTCTGGATAGATAATATTCTGCACTGTGGTAGTAGGACATGGTTGATCATACGAAGGATCAATACGTGGAGGAAATGCTTTGTATACATCGTACCACAATGGGCGGTCTTCATAATCTAGAGCCCCTTTTTCAATCATCCCTTTGACTCTATTGATACATAGTTGTGGAAAACATGCGCGAACCTTTTAAAAATAGAGGCGAACCTTTCCTTTCTGCTTCCAAGCATTTTTAAACATACCTCGACTTCTTCCCAAGGTTGACTTTGAATTCTTATTGTGATGAACAAAAACAACAAGTTTAATTTAGAGAATATAAGATTTTAGTTGTTATAAACAGCTGGAATGAGATATGACTAGCATTATTTGGATAAGATTCTGTAATTGTACTCGTTTTTATAAGAACATTGAAAATATTGTGAAAAACATATTAACACGTGCAATGGACGCTTATTTGAAGGTAGAACGGACCTTAAAAAAACGGCATGCGAACCAGGATCGGTGAGCACTCGAGGAAAAACAACACGACTTGAGAAAAGCAGCGTGTATATTTCAGACAGTGAAATAGGCAAAGGGAACCCTAATTATAAATTGGTCTCTTGCATCATTTTTCTAGTACAGTTTAAGCAGAGTTTGTTATTCTTTCGGCACATTCAGCAGTCGTTACTCCACAGTACAAAAACGCGGATTCACGATGATGACATCACACAATCATTCTAATGATGATACTCTACCCCTCTCTCCTTGAGGAACAGTCCTCAGTTCCTAGTTATAGACATGGATAGAGTCTTAACTTCTTCTGTTGGTACTTAGTGGCAGGTGGAGGTTGACTAACTGGATAACTTAGTGTACCAACGTTTGTCTTTGTTTCAGTTGGTTATGGTGTACTGTTATAACGTAGCCTTACATTTACTGAAGGTTACGTAAGGCAAAGCGGGGGGTCAGATAGTTACATCATCATAGGACCTTTACAAAGATCGGTATAACTTGCTCTATATTCTTTGTGTAGACACAGGGTGGTCTAGTTAAACATAATCTCCGGGTTTATACACCGACCCGTTTGCTTGTTGTTCGTATACGTCTTTCTGGTTTTCGCTATCACTTCATGGTTTCCTTTGACAAGACGGTACGCATCAGAATGAAGGCTACAAGTATTAGTTATGTGTAGTGAGTATTCCTGAGCTCCACAAAGCAAAAGCAGAACATGTACGTCAGCAGGTAGGCGTAATCCCTGACCAAAATGTAGAACAGAAGCACTGATGTGAGATAAACTAGAGAACATTGGGGTATTACTTTATTCCAAAATTCAGCCGACGACTTACTGATGAACGATTATACAATGGCTCTAGTAGTTCTGTTTGTTCATTCCATCAGACCATTACCTTCCTTGTGGTACGCGGTAGTATTTTTTTTCCTTGACTCTCAATAACTGGCATACTTGAGTGCTGAGATGACTTTCAAATGTTGCGTTTAATTCAGAATGGAGTAAGTATGGGGCTCCATGGCGGCAAATCCAATGATCGGTGACAGCTTATGTAGCCATCAGGACATCTGCTGTGGGTCAATGACCGCCCAACACCATTTCCTTAAGTAGTATGCAGCTGCTTGTGTTCCTCATTGTTGTAAGATGCCTCACAATATCAGTGCAGACGTGATAGTGTAGTCCTACTGTAACCATTAGGGTTGGAGATGCATAGGATGTTTGCTGGGGTGGTTTCATACAGTAACAACGTTTGAAAAGTCCCGTTATATTTTTATAGATAGAAGACCACCCAAAACTCCGAAGAATGTCATGTTTGTTTTTCAGTTTCTCCTAGTGGCCAAGGTGAAGATCCATCCCCTTTATACCATTCTGAACTTATACACGTGTGAGTATCAAAAATGTTGTTTCGAATGGCCGACTAGAAATAGCGTGTCGTCATACTATCTCAGACTACACATTTAGCACGAAGACGGAGGGTTTCTGAAGGCTGATCTTTTGACACTCTAACGATGGCGTACTACTTCCATTTATTTGTCTTTGGCTTAAAGATCGCTGATCCACACCCGTCACTTGCAGAAATTAATAATCGATCTTAGTGGCTGTGTTAATGATGAATTTGATAGAATCAGGAGAATAAAATATACAGAACAGACCATCAGCATTTTCATGTCTGCTTCCAGGTCGGTCGAAAATCGCACAAGATGCACAGTGGTGGGTCAAAGTTTACGCTACTCAAGAGTGAAATCAGATATTCCGGAACACTCTGAGAGATTCTGTATCAGGTAAACGTTTCTCAGCATTTTCGTCACTACCTTATAGTAAGCTCTGTCCGAGTACGTATGTACCATTTGCACACCAGTGATTCCGCTTGTTCTGTGAGCCTGAAGCTTAAGCAGCGCGTTGGCACGACATGGTACATTTAACATACGACTACTGTAGAATCCAAACTATGGTTTGGACTGAAGAATAAGTATCTAGGGAGTTTAGGTACGCGATATTGCCCTTTTGAAACCAAAACGAGGTGATTGGGTAAATGACGGTTCTAAATTTCACTATAAATATAAATGTATATCATTAACTAAACAAATGTTACCACTCAGTTATTCAACCAATAAGTGTTCATTCAATGGGATCTTAAATTTAATAAATAAACAAGTTGGTAAAGACAATAAGAAAATTACCAATCTCAATAATTTAATATTATTCTATTCTTTCTGGACAGATCACGCACATATTCGCTCAAAAAATAACACTCGGTTGTTTTACAACACAGTGTTTTCAATTCTGGAAGAGTGCTTCAATTCACAATCAAAAGTGCACAATTTCAGTCAATGCAAGCAATACAATCAAAGGAGGAACGAAATCAATATGGCTGCCGTCAAGATTAAATACCAACTAAAACAACATAAGTGCAGTTCAGAAAAGAACCTGGAAACTCAGTAAAGGCGTAATAAAAATAAAAACCATAACAAAATACGAATATTATCATCGCAAATGTAATCAAAGGATTGACAAAGTGTACAAATGAAGTGATCGATAGGAACAAATTTCAAGTGCATACATGGAGGGATTTTCACAGAGAGAACCTTTGTAACGACTGAACTGCCAGTATTCGGTTTGAACGCAAGACTGACGCACCAAAATGTATTCGAATAGGCGAGACTACGTTCTTCTGTATAGCTTACAAAGCGTTTCTGAGACACTCGTATTAAATTATATCAAAACACAAACTCTGTGCTCAATTTAAACTGTTCTAATTTAGGAAATAGAACAAATTATATCAGAAATACATAATACCACAAACGGTACAGTCTGGGCTATACAGTCAGAATTTTCACTAACGCAAAGTAGGGCGCTAAACAATAAAACATACAGTTGATACCAAAGGGTTCGATACCTGAGAATCAATAAAAATATTCCCAACCAAATGGGATCAATTATCTATCAGCAGGTATTCCAACAATCCTCCCAAGCAGACAGTCAGAAGTTTAACAGTCACACACTGAATTATGCCGTGACCTTAAGCTTAGTCAAACACGACCTTATTGTCAATAGTCCGGCAACATGCAATGGAAAATCAGGTAACAAAAGACGTCTTTAATCACAATCACTTGGTGAAAGTTCAGACGAGGAAGACTGATAAACGAAAAGTGTGGTTAAACGAGATCTGAACAAAGGTTAAAATACACGACAGGGAGAAGAAACAAATAAATGACAGTACTGTTCACCAAAAGGTTGCGAAGGGATTTTCATTATTGTCTTTCCGTTACAACCTTCAAAATGGATCTTAAACCGGCCTGCAAAATACCTCCATACAACACAAAGCTACTTCTATGGTTTTGGTCATGGTTTATTCTATAGCATAGTCCATTCTAGAGGAACGAGTAGGACTTACTGCACTACGCCTACTCGACCTACCAACATTGATATAACAAGGAAATGATTAAAACCTTCAGGAAGACATACCTTACGTATATTCCCTTTAAGCAATCCATTATTCGTACTAACATTTACCGTCCTAACCTTTCTGTCGCTATCTGTTTCACAGCCGTCAACTACTCCTAAGGTCCACTTTCCATGGGTCGAAATGTCATCCGTTCCCAAATACCATCCCTGTGGCTGGATGAGGGAGGGCTAACATGCCATTTAGTTTGCCTCGTTGATAATTCATTACTTATCTTCCGCTGATTCAACTGTAGCACATATCTCCCTAGTTCAGAGACTGCACCTAAGAAGTTCGACCCGTTGTCACTGTAAACTTCTGCGGGCTTCTCTCTTCTTCCAATAAAACGTAATAGGGCTATTACAAATGAATCAGTATTCAAACCGTAAGTCGTTACAATATGTACAACTCGTGTTTACAAACAAGAAAATACACATCCATATCTTTTTTCCAATGACCTCCCTCTTTTGACTAAAAGTGGTCCAAAGTAATCTACACATATCGCTGAGAAGCTGTGCCATCGTTGTTGTACTCCACAATCTGGAAGCGGCGTCATCAGTTGTTGTCCTGAATTCTTCCTTAACCGTCGACAAGTCACACACCTTCCTATCACTCTCCTAACCGTGCTGGTTCCTTCTACTATCCAGTATCATTTGTTAATTGTGGCCAGTACTTGAGACGTTCCTGTGGGCCCTTCTTATTTATGATAACGCCTAATTAACGTTTCCGTCACTAAGTGTTCAATTCATTTAGGAAATCTGAGTAGCTTATGCGACCTCCAACATAGAGTAGCCCCTCAAGCATTATCGGCGATGAGCCCTTCAGATCATTATGACTAACTTCTTTACTGTCGTTTTTAAATTCAACAATTAATTCTGCGTACACCTGTAGAATCATGGTCTACTATGATGTTAATACTGTTCTAATAATAAACCTAATCCTTAAATTATACATTTGACATGATGTAACTGCCTAACCTATAAGATCTTACGTGGAAGTCACATCATTGTTTACACTGACTCATCGCATCGTAACAATCATCAATATTTGATGGAGAACACATTCAGGCTGGAAACAAATAAACTTAAGACGAGTATGAGCAAGTTATACTGATCGACCACATCTGCAAAGCCGAGCCATGCTGTCTGATCAATTCGAATTAACTCATTCCATTCACTGTTCCCGCCTCCTCCATCGTTGGGTTTTTCACCGCGTTAAATGTTGAACATGTATTTTCTCAAGTGTCTCGTGTTCAGCCTTGAGGATTGTGTAGCTAAGGCCCAATGCCACTAAACACCTCTTTC